TTCACAAATGTATCTTTAAAGGAATTTTGTAGGTTTCTGCAACCATGTCCCTTGTTGCCTTATAGCTGAAAACAACAATATTGGGATCATTCTTTTTTTAAAAAATTGAAATGAAATTGAAAAGTGATATGAGCTGGTGGTGAGACGTGAGAACTTAGCTGGTCAGTATGGCTCAGAGTCAGCTTCTGTTGCAGACAAGCGGAACCAGTTTTCCCAGAGCTCAAGTCTGAACAGAATTAGGTATGTCTGTTGAAAGTGGGGCAATGCAATTGCAGAGTGCGGTGACTCCCTTGTCTATTTATTATTAAATTTTGGTTAATGTAAGAGTGATGTGGCTTCTAGGAACTGGCAAAAAGCTCCTTCTTCTACCACTAACATCTCCCATACCCTCCACCATTTATCTGATGAAAATAAGGACCTCCTCCTCCTCCTCCTCCTCCTCCTTCTTCTTCTTCTTCTTCTTCTTCTTCTTCTTCTTCTTCTTCTTCTTCATATCCCGCCCATCAGACTGGGTTGGCTCAGCCATTCTGGGCAGCTTCCAACATATACAAAAACATAATAAAACATTAAAAGAACTTCAGCCTTCAGATGCCTTGGGTATTGGATAACTCCAAACCCTCCAACATTTCTCCAATGACAATAGGGACGTCCTAAGGAAAAGCGGGGCATTCCGGGATCAAATCAGAAACCGGGACGTCTTCTGTAAATCTGAGACTTGTCCCTGGAAAATAGAGACCGTTGGAGGGTGTAATCTCCTCCCATCCGCTCTGGGTGCTGCTGCAGTAGCTATCACAACCTAATCCTAACAGAGGTTTTTTAAGATCAAATGTTGGCCAAAGGCAGAGACAAGGTAGATTAGGTTGTATTGGCCCACTCAAGAACAGAAGCGGGCAGAATCTGGGCAGATCACGGCTGAGGATCGTGAATCGGGTAGCTCCAAAAGTGAACTCAGTGACAGAATATATTTTCCTGGTTGACTCTCAAGACTGTGGGCTTTTCCACATTGTTGTATTTTGTGCTGCATGGAAGGCCCTTTCCTGAAATGGATTGTGGAAAGTAACACAGACATTCAAGAGCTTGATTTTAAATATGCTGTTCTTTTCCTTGCTGTTTCTAGCTGTCCTTGAAGACTTCTATATCTCTTTGATTTCAGTGGTGGGAATTAAACACACATTTTGTAACTTTCCCTGGTTGAAACCAATGGGTGGTATTCAATTAAGTTTTGCTCACAGCAGACACACAAAAGTTAATGAATATGACTAAGAGTTCTTTATTTCAACACGTCCACTCTGAGTGAAATTTAGGCTGTGTACCCACAATACCTTTTGGAGCACATGCTTTCCTTCAAAGAATTCTGGGCAATGTAGTTTACCCTTCACGAAGTTACAATTCCCAGCAATCCTTAACAAACTCCAGTACTCATAATTCTTTGAGGGGGGAAATGTACTTCAAATGTGTTTTAAAAGGGTAGTAGTATGTACACAGCATTAGTTGAATACTACCCTTCAGAACTTAAAAGTGCTCACATAAGATGCATGCATTTATATCATAACATTTACACACACAGTGGTACCTTGGTTCTCAAACGCCTTGATACTCAAAAACTTGGAACCCAAACACTGCAAACCTGGAAGTGTTCCAGTTTGCGAACTATTTTGGAAGTTGAATGTGCTCTGTTTTGAGTGTTACGCTGACGATCTGAGTGTCTGTCTGTTTTTGCTATTTATTTTGCATTTTTGTTTTTGTGGCTTTTTCTTTTGTGACTGTGTGGAACCCAGTTCAGCTATTGATTGATTGATTGATTGATTGTGTGACTGCAGTACATTGTTTATTGCTTTCGTTTTATGGATCAGTGGTCTCGTTAGATAGTAAAATTCATGTTAAATTGCTGTTTTAGGGGCTGTTTTTAAAAGTCTGGAACGGATTAATCCATTTTGTATTACTTTCTATGGGAAAGCATGCCTTGGTTTTGGAATGGACTTCTGGAACGGATTAAGTTTGAGAACCAAGGTACCACTGTATATAAAAGCTATCGTGGTACATATTAAATCTATATACATTTATATGCTTTCGCTTCAGACTGGAAGTTCAACAGGTTCCTCTTCATTATAGATTTGTGAGCGATGTGGCTCTCCCTTCTCATAAGCACCTTTCTTTACTTTCCCTGAGAGACTGATGAGATCTCTGTGCACACTATAATTACTAGGTGCGGAAAGGAACCTCCTCGCTTTGTGAAATTTCAATACGAATCCCCGAGGTAATTACTATTTGTGGTGTACGAGAGAGTAACACATCACTATGGCAAACCATGTGACTTCCTAAAACGTAACTGCCATGAATCGACCTGAACTTTCCCATCGCCTCAACAGAGTCAAAGTGGCTCCCTTGGGGAAAAAGAGCGCAAGCTAGCTTATGACAGAAGCTGCAGAACAGGTGCTGAAAACATTCTCACGCGCTTTGAGGTTAATAAGACAAGGCCTCAGCATGAGAGCAGGCTTTCTTCAAAGCGAGAGCTGACATTTCTGAAAAGTTTGTTTATGTGTTTGTTCTGCTCTCCAAACGAAGACATATATATTGTGGGTTTAGGTCAGGAATAGCAAGAACGTTAAAAAATGCACAGACACCCAGCAATTTCAGGTTTCACTTAAATCTAACCTGGCAATTAAATGTTAAGTAATGTAATATTATCTATACTGCCTGATAAGCACAGATTCTCTGCTCCTCAGAAATCCTGACTGCTTCATTTCCGTGAAAATATTTACTAAATTATGTCTTCATCCGCACACGCCTAATTCTGTTTTTTCAGTGTTTCAGGCTTTGAGCCAAAGGCAAAGAGTTATTTAGCTCTTGATGTTTGGCTTACACGCACCTAGCCAGGCAGCTCCCCAAAAAGTACCTGGAAGTATTCTTTTACTGGCTTCCTCACTGTAGTCTCTAGCCAGACATCTGAGAAATATCTCGGTTTGTAGCAGCTGAAGAAACAAGGGTTGTGAAGCTCAAAACTGAGTGCTTGAATGCAGCCAACATTAAGTATTTTTAAGGACCAGTGATTTCACGGGGAGACATCTAAGCATTTGGATTGTGTCCCTGTTTGGCCTCTATCCATCGTTACTTTCTACAAAAAGATGAGCCAGTTCAGAAGCCTGCCAGGAAGCCATGGCCTTTCAAGATGTCAAAATCCTGTGGAAGGTCAGTTCACATGGGCTTTCGTGTGCTCATGTGATTCAGTCTCCTCCTTCATGAACAAAGTGCCGCCTAGGACTGAGTGTGCCTTTAAAGTGAAATTAAGGTATTAAAAATGTATTGGGCAACATGACATCTTAATTAAATTATGCAATAGGAAGATCATCTTATCCAGGGAGTTTTTGGTGAGAAGCCGGGAGTGCAGATTATTCAGTCCCACGTTCAAATCTTTTAAAGTCTCTCTTCTGACAAACTCTGAAAGTGCAGAGACCTCTGGGGTGTTTTGTTTTGAACAATTACTGTGTCTCAGCTTAGGTCCAAATTAAAGATAACAGGAAATGTGCGTATTTTGTGTATATTTTTTCTTGGTTAAATAGCAGCAAATCAGGACAACTGAGTGGGGGAAACGGATGGTGGTGGGCAACTCTTTCACAGAGTGTGGTGGTCCTGGTGAAAACCCATCTCCTCCAGGAGTGAGTTGTCATTGGTCCCAATACTGGCAAGAAATTGGGATGCAATCCGGCCGCGAGAGTTCTAATAGCAAAAGGATGGAAGACTGAAGAAACCCCAAGTAAAGAGTCATGGCAAGAAAAATTGATGGACTATGCAGAACTGGCAAAACCGACATACAAGCTATGGGACAAGGATAACTGTGACTTTAAAGATGAATGGGAACCCTTTAGAAAGTATTTGAAGACACAACAAAGCGAACTGGACTCCTTGGCTGGCTTTGAATAAATTCACAAACTTTTTATTGATAATAATCAGCTATATAGTTTGAGATTCTATACAACTTTGTAACATACAGAAAACAGCATTCTCAGCGAAACCAAAGACTGGAACTGAGGGAAGCTGGTGTGTGTGTGTGTGTGTGTGTGTGTGTGTGTGTGTGTGTTGGAGGGTGGGGGAAGGGAGGAAAAATGGGGGGGGATAAGGATGATATGTTTTTGGATAATATGTTTTGTTTTAATTTTGAATATTTTAAATTTTTTTTAAAGGAAGAAATTGGGACGCAATCTACTAAATTTGGCTGGATGTGGACTAGGCAAAATTCGGCATCAATGAAATAAACAATAAAAAGATTTATTCAGTCTCAGGTTCAAATCTTATTATTATTTTATAGGACAGTACTTTAAAATATTGATGATTAAGTGGTGTACAATAAAATGCAAGGCCAACAAATATAACCAGTCAGCAGTGTGGGGGGGGGGTTTATGGACAACCCTAAGTTGTTGTGCTTTTTTAGGGGGGAGCCAAAGATGTTTTAGGGGAGAAACAAAAACTTTTTTTGAGGGGGGGGGCGCTTCTCCGCCTAATTGCCTCGCCGCCGGCTTGGCTGCGGCCCCATTACAACGCTGCCTCCGTCGCGCTGCCCGAAGCCTGACACTACAGCTACAAAAGAGGTGCCGGAACTCAGTTCTGGCTGGGGGGGAAAGACACCACCCTGCCAATCAGTGAAGTATTATAAATACTATTTAACACGACTAGAACAGACTGGAAAAAGTCGAGCTACTATCCTAACCGTGCCCCATGGAATTAAGTTGCTTTTAATCCCAGGTAAATGGCGTTTGGACTGTAGTATCTAACCCAGGAATGTTGAGAATTTTAGAAACGTGCATCGAAAAGTAAAGATTGGCGACACATGCCTGAAGTCAGGGCGGAAGTTATTCGACAGATGGAAGGGCCGAGTCCTCCCCAGGCCTCCCACTTCACTGGAAGCGGCTTTTTCCTGTTTAAAAAGGGTGACGATGTACCAACTCGGGCCTCTCATTTCTACCTGAGAGGCGCCCCGCCACATGCAAGTGTGCGCGCCCATTAGGAAAGCCCAAAATAACCCCAAACCCGGCGCCAGGATGTGCGCGCAGCTGAGGCCGTGACCCGGCGCTGCTTTCCACGAAAAACCGAAGGGCTTTCCTGAGAAACTTGACGCAGCAGCAAACAAACGAACGAACCAAGTGCCAGAATGCCAGAGAAAGCCAGGAAGCGGGCCCTTGAGTTGCTTGGGTGTTCCCTTTTCCCGCCGCCCCTCCGCGCTCCACTTCCCATTCACAAAGCCTGGGGCCGCCGCCAGTAGAACGCGCCTCCTTCCTTTCCCTTCCACCCCTCCTCCTCCTTATTATTATTATGAATGGAACGCGCGCACAAGCGCCGGGGCCGCGTTCGATTCCTCCCATTGTGACGTCGCGCGTTCCATTCAAGGCGAGCGGAGGCAAGAATGGGGCCCGGCGGCGGGGAGAGGGAAAGCCGAGCCGGGAGGGCGGGGCGAGGTAGTAAAAGCGACCCTCCCACGCGCTCCGGAGGGCGCGCGGCCAGCACCGCCGTCGCCACCAGCGGCAGCAGCAGCAGCAGCTGCTCTTCCTTCTCCGCGGCCGCGCTAGGGCTGCGCGCAAGAGGAGCGCGCTAAGGCCCGTGTCCCGCAGCAGCAGGAGGGAGAGGGAGGTTGCGCGGCGCCAGCGGCGGCCATGGCGGAGCTGCGCGAGATGGAGTGCGTGGGGCTGCAGCGCCTCCTGCACGGCGGGGTCTCCGGGCAGGGCGGCAAGTGCCTCCTCTTGGACTGCAGGCCTTTCCTGGCGCACAGCGCGGGCCACATCCGCGGCGCGCTCAACGTGCGCTGCAACACCATCGTCCGGCGCAGGGCCAAGGGCTCCGTCAGCCTGGAGCAGATCCTGCCGGCCGACGACGAGGCGCGCGCCCGCCTCCGCTCGGGGCTCTACTCGGCCGTGGTGGTGTACGACGAGCGCAGCGGGCGGGCGGAGGCGCTGCGGGAGGACAGCACCGTGGCGCTGGTGGTGCGGGCGCTGCGCCGGGACGCGCAGCACGCCGACATCTGCCTGCTGAAAGGTGAGCGGGGACCTTCCTTGATTGGCCGAGGGTTTTATTTATGTGAAGTGGTGAATTAATAGGTTCAATATCATAATGTGACGATCTAAGGATGTTTAAGTTAAATTTTATAAGAACTGTGGTTTGGAAAACCGTTGAAAGGATATGCAATGAAATCCAACCAAGGGGAAGCGAGGAAGTCCCTTAACAATGTCAATAAGTGTAATTTTCAATAAGGCTATGAATTATGTTTGTTTGTCTTATGTGTTTGTTTGTTTGTTTGTTTGTTTGTTTATAATGTTGTGAAAACCAATAAAAATTTTTGGAAAAGAAAGAAAGACCTCTGGGGAGAAGGAGTTGCGTGGACCCAGCCGAGGGCGCGCAAGGATGGGTCACGGCTGCTAACCAGAAGGTTGGTGGTTCGAGACCACACAGGGGTGGCTGTGAGCCGGATTCCTGCATTGCAGGGGGTCAGACTAGATGACCCTTGGGGTCCCTTCCAACACTACGATTCTGTGAATCGTGCCTGCGCACATCTCTCTGACGCCCGCGTTGCCCGGTCGTGTAGCATTCAGACGAGAGCGCCTCTTAGGGCAATGCGTGTCTCCCACCACATGCGACTCCCATTTCAAGCCCTGAGAGTGGGAGCTTCCCGACCTGGCTTGAACCCCGGGAACAACACTCTTTCGTTAAGGTAGGGCTCAGATTGGCTCCCCAACCCTCGCCTACTCCCTTCCCTCGCCGCCAAACTGTGCGGGCGATCCCTTCCCTATGCCGGGCAGCTCCACCTAGTAGGAAGAGATTTCTTTCGGCAAGAGACAGCCTTGATTCTGTCCTGTGTGCAGCGCCGTGCACTCTGCGTGTGCCACGCATTAGTGGCGCAGGCTCCGTAACCGTGAGGTTTTTGCACCCATTTCTCCCTCCCTGAGATGTGCTTCTTAAATACTATGCAATACTCAGAAAAAAGAGGGAGTTATTAGCACTCCTTCACATCCGTCCCAGCCAGGGAGGGTCGGCTCTTTCAGGGTCCCTCCTGGTGTGGTCTTTGGAAACAGTAGACTGAATTGTATCCGGAGATTGTTTCCTGCCCATCTGACCTGTCATCTGGGCTTTGTGTGTGTGGTGTGTGTGTGTGTGTGTGTGCATGAAGGCTGCTGGTGACCTTTTGAACTGCAAAAGCTCTGGGTGGGTGGAAAGATCCTGGTTTATTGTCCCAGGAACGGGGCCTCTCCCTTCTCGGGACTTAGGAATGCATCCTCAAGGATAAAAAAAAAAAGGAACAAAGCAACACACAGCCTTGATGCCATGCCTGGGTATATGTATTCATGTGCCCTGGAAGGATATTTGCACCAGTTTCTGTAGAAAAATGGCACCAGCTCCTGAGAACGATGTAGAGGAAGCATTGCAAGCTAGTGGAGGATTTTTCTTATTTTGCAAACGTGCAAAGCTGCGTTTATAACCCTGGTCAGGGCCTAACCTTTTAACGGAGGCCGTGTTTTGAATTCCACAAGGGCTGAGAAGCATCCATAGATAGCATAGGCTGTCTATGGCTGATGAGTCTTTTGCCTCCTCTTCCTACAACAGAGGCAGAGGGACCAGCTCATCTTCTCCCCTTGGGGCATCTCAGCTGCTCCCTCCCAGTTGCCTGTGCCTTGGGGACCTCTGTTGCTTACTCACATGCGACATGCTTTGGGGGCTAAGATGGATTTGCAGGCAGGAGCTATGCTGGAGGGCTGGTGATCTGGCCTCCTGGTACCTATCCCTGATCTGTTCTGAGTCAGATACAGTGTGGTCCATTCAGCCGAATATTGTTGCCTTTTGACCAGGCCTTGGGCCCAGGTATTTCCTGGAAAGGTATGAGCCATGCTCTCTCTCCGTGTTTCAAGTCACTTTTGAGAGTGAGGTTGGCTCAGAAATAAACAAATACCTGGCTGTGATCTTAAGCCAGTGGTTTGCAAAGGTTGTGCTGAACGTTGCTGCTCTGGCAGTCTGCGAAGAACAAGCAGTACATATCTTCTTCCTTTTCGCCTATACCCCATGATGCTTGAAAAAATTCTGACTACATCCTTATGGTCTAAATCAGGCATAGGCAAACTCCGGCCCTCCAGATGTTTTGGAACTACAATTCCCATCATCCCTGACCACTGGTCCTATTAGCTAGGGATGATGGGAGTTGTAGTCTCAAAACATCTGGAGGCCCCGAGTTTGCCTATGCCTGGTCTAAATATTTCTGGAATTTAGTTGTTGCAGAAAACATAGCACGTAAGTTACAGGTCTGTGGGACAGGGAGAGCCACATAATTTCTATTCAGTATGGTGGGATTTTATTTCATATAGTTTCGTTTTAGATTTACATGTGTCTCGCCACGTGACATCTAGAGAAATATGGTTGTCATGATTTTCGATTGAGTGTTGCTATTTAATATGTTTAGGTTTGGTATGCAATGCTTTTAGCTGGAGACGTTATTGAACTTTTGCTCTTGTTTACCTGTCTCTCTGGTTCCATAATGATTTGAAAATGAATAAAAAATACATGAAAAAGAAGATTACGATTTAAAACTATGATGCCATATATCCAGATTATTGGTTTCTTTCGGGGCTTTCACTGCATCAACTTTTACTGCTGAAGAGGCAAGCTGCTGATCCGTTTTATATTTTAGAATTTAAAAATGATCAGTGGGCTTCCTGCTTCATCACGTGGTAAAACCAAACAAACCTAGCGTTTTTCTCCAGTTGTTTTAATTGCTGTGTTGGGGACTGCCTCAGTGTATACTGGGGGCTAGTGGTGGTCCTAGATTGGGTAATTGAATGCTGAAATAGATTGGGTCAAACAAAATAACAAAAGATCCTTTGCAATTTAAATTGGGCTCAAGGACACATTTGGATTTTGAGTGAGTGCTGTGGGAACCGCTCTCTCCTTCCCTCTCTTATCACCTCCCCTCCTCTCCCGGAAAACGCATGCTCACACACATAACTTTCTCTCTCTTTGCAATTCCAAGCGATCTTGGTAAATGTCGGATCTGGTAGCTTAATCTGAGTCTTGAAAAGCAGGCAGAACAGAGAGAGGAAGTGGGAAAGAAGGCCACTCTTCTCACTTCCTCTTTCAGCTCTATGTACTTTTCAAAGGAGAAAGAGATAACCACCTATCACCAAGTGGGGAGGGGGGGGCTCTGAGACTTTGCTGGTGGGAGACTTTAAAGCTGCCCTTGTGTTCACAGATTCCCCATTGGCAACCCCAATTGGTTTGGTACAGAGGCAAAAAAACAATGCTGTCCAGGGTTGTAAAGACTGCAGAGAGAATAATTGGGTGCACTCTTCCCACCTTAGATCAAATCTATGCTGCCAGGTGCCATAAGAAAGCGGCAGAGATAGCGCAGGATAGTACACACCCCGGAAATGATCTCTTTCAGCTTCTGCCCTCTGGGAGAAGGTATAGGGTTATAAAGGCCAGGACTAGCCGCCTGAGAAACAGTTTCTACGCAAATGCAATTCTGGTTCTAAATGCAGCATAAAGGGGTCCCTATAGTATAGTGTATTTTAAAATGGGGTTTCAGAGTTTATAGGGGGGTTTGAATGTTTTATGTAGTTTTTCAGTTTCATTGTTCTGCATGGGACAATGACAATAAATATATCGTATATATTTAAGTGCAAAAACAAACTTGCTTGTTACGGCAAAACAATAAACCATATTCCAACAAATACAATGAATTATCACAATTTTTAGCTATGTTTGGGGCTGTTTCTGTGAATGATTCGCTTAAATTCAGTTTGCCTTTTGCTTTTATGCTTAAAAATTACGGTCAGACTAGAGTTACAAAAGTAGGGAAAGAGGTAGAAATAGAAATAAGTTGTATTATGCAGAGACAAACAAAAGTCAGCTTTGAAAGGCATTTGTGCGGAGATTAATTTTTCAAGCATGATGGCTCCTTTGGATATTTGACTGTCAAGTAATAATCGGCGGACAATATTTGATCAGCCAAGTGACCTGTGTGCAAATCTCAGGTGATCATCCAGATCGCTGTTTAAGTTTTGGTGTCTTAGGGCGATGGATTTGTCACTTAACCCGTGAATCAGCTGAGGGGCTGTTGGTCTGAAGCTCCATGGAATGCCTTCCTTTCTTTCCTTTGACTCAGTAGGAAACAAAGTCTTACAGAGTGCACCATGTGCTGGCGATTGCTGGAAAATTGTGACACCACCATGAATGGGTGAAAAATAACGGAAAAGCTTGTGATTGCAACAGTCGTACGCAAGTGCAATTAAAACATTTTGGGTGTTGATAAGGCCAGATCTGGGATAGATCAAGTGCAGAGTGGTTTGAAAATTCCCAAATATTTCAGAGTAATTTATATTAACAGCAGCACACAGAGGCCTGCCCCCACACTATTCATGCTTCACAGCAGTATAAAGTTTAAACTGAGTGTTCTCTCAACCGAAGCAGATAATTAAATGAGTCTTAAAAAATTTGATACACATCACAAGGAATGTATTGTAGCTTGTTCAGCTATCATTATCTGTAGTTTGGCAATGATGCTCTAGTGACAGGTCCCAATCTTAAATGCTGTCGTACATTTTGAAGCTAAGAATAAACCAAGAATCAACAGATTATTTTTTAAAAAAAATATATGGTTGCCACCCAGTTTAAAATCTTGGAAACTAGAGAGGTGCATGAATAAGAGTTTGAGTGGTTTCTTCAGAAACTTTGCATCTTGTGAGCTGGGACTAATAGCATTGGAAATACAGTAATGTTCAAATTTGCACAGTTCACATAATTTATTCAGGACACTGAAATTGGTTCAGCTTGCCTGGGTACAGAATTTGATCTTTAAGTATGCAGCAGTACACACAACCCTGTTTATATCTGCCCAAGTTAAAGGGCTTTTTTTTTTTTTAATTGGAGGGTAGTAAATGGAGCAAATAGAGTCTCTTGTTAAGGGACGGAGGTGGTGCTGTGGGTTAAACCACAGAGCCTAGGACTTGCCGATCAGAAGGTCTGCGGTTCAAATCCCTGCGATGGGGTGAGCT